TTTTTTTCCCCCATAGGAAAAACCGCAATCAAAAAAGAGAAGAAAAACCAAACAACCAAATGTCACTTGACAAACAACTAATTAATGTCTTTTCATCTCTCCCACCTGGGAAAAGTCTTTCCCTTAGAGCGCTCTCAATCCCCTCCCCCTTGTAAAGGACAAATTTTTTAAAACGCCATTTCCAGACCAAGAAGCCATTTACAGACAAATGTCATTTTCCAGTTTTATCTGATTTGTGAATGTCTTTTTTCCTTTATTTTTTTGACAAAGCACTCTCAATGTGGTCAACTAACAGGAAAATGTGTGTGTGTTTTTTAATGGTTTATTGCGCGGGTGGGGGGTGCTGCTGGGGGGCAGCTGCTACAATTAATTCTCTTCTTTGCTTTTCAAAAAGCCTGCAAGTCTGGAAGGGAAAAAAGGTCATACTGTAAAATGACGTGTCATTTGGCTTCATTGGGCACTTTGCGTACTATCTTTTTTTTTTCTTTTTTTGTCTTATTTTATTTGATTCTCCTTCTCTTCCTTCCACGGCCAGGCCTGGCCCAGGACACGTCTGCTCCGCACACAGTCGGTCCTGCCCGAAACGCACCAAGTCGCGCCCAGTGGCCGACGCGCTCCCTCCTCCCCCCACCCCCCCCCACTCCGGCGCCACGACTCGCCCGTGCCCCCTCCCCCTCCCACTGCACCACCTTTACCGCTCTGGTCCTTTCCGAGGGGCTGATGTCACTCGCCCCCCCACTCTCCTCGGCCACTTCCCCCGCCAAAGCCTCTCTTTGGCGAGGCCCCCTCCGCCACCACGGCGCCCCCCAGCGTCACCCCCTCCTCTTCTCGCCCCTTTCTCCCCCTTGCCTTCTCCCAACAAATCACACACCCTACGGAGGCGGGTCCCCCTCCCTCTGCCCGCCACCCCATTTCCTGTCCCCGAAACCCTCTTTTTGTCGCAGTCTCAGGAGCCCCGTGGGCCTCCCCCTCCCCCTCACGCACCCAAGCCCCTGGCGTCGTGTAGGCCTCGCGGAAAGAGAGAGAAAGAGAAAGAGCAAAAGAGGAGGGGGAGAGAGGGG